TCATGGGCCCAGGCTTCATTGATTGCGCGCGCGTGTCAAGCTGCTGTCTCGGGCTACGCACGACGCGCAGAAGGTCCGTGATAGCCTGTTCGCCTGCCGTCGGTGTCGGTGCGGGAGTCGTTAGGGAGAAAGCGACAGGGCGCGGACGACGTTGGGATGTAAGCACTAGCAGCATCTGTTGGAGGCGTGGCTGTTGATATGTGGAGGGTTCTTGGTAGGTGTCTTGGCGGTTGGGCATCGAGAGGCGCATGTAGAGGCGTTGGAAGAGGGGCAGGATGACGCGGTCGCGGAAGGCTCGGAGGGCTACGCTGCGCACGTCGATGTGGGTCGTTGACGTTGAGCCATTTGATGAGCCCGAAGAGCCCTTTACACCCTGCCGTCCTGGAGAAGTCGCACGGTGGAGTGATTTGGGCGTACGATAGAGGGAGGAGAGGAGAGGGTCTGTTTGGAGGGGTAACAGGACCTGGAGAGGGTTAGTAGCCGAATAATGGAAAAGGGAATGATCTTACCCCTTCGACGTATGTGAGCACTTGGTCCCAAAAGAATCCCCAGATCTCGACTACCCGTGCAACCAGCTTCTCGTCGTCGATTCCCATGAGCTTTGCATTTAGTGTGACCATGCCCGAGGCGATTAGCTCGGATGCGTCGTTTTCAAGTGTCGCGAGAGCCTTGGAAGGGGAGGAGGAGACGACCGACTGGATATGTCGTTTCACCAGGATGTTCAGGTCCTCGCTGGAGATGCTGTTATTAGAAACAGTGGAATTATCATGATCCATCACTTACATTGGTATTCTTAGCGGCTCCCCATTGAACAGGGGTAGCACATGAACATGCAGTGCGCCCCATGGATCTGAGGTGGATGAGGATGCGAGATTCGCGGGTGCGCCGGCAGCAGGCATGGTAAGCGATGTGGCCAAGGGCGCAGTCGCAATAGGCGGGGTCAGTGCTGAGGGTAGGTGGGCAAGGGTGCCGAGTCGGTGCATTTCACGAGAGACGAGCTTTGAATCGTAGGTGCGCCCATACGACGCCTGTACAATGAACGAAATAAGAAGAAGAAGCTGGTGCCTGTATCACGGGCCGATGTACCTTTGAAGGAGAGGTGTGGGCCTTGGAGACGCTGGCGATACTTGACGACGAGGCCATGGTGTGCTGAGGTGAGGGCGGAGGCGGAGTGTGGACGGACTCGTCGCGGGAGTGGGGGTGTGTGAGGGGATGGAGGAGCTGGCTTGGATGCAGAGAGCCTTTTAGATTGGCCTGGGTCCCTGACAGGGACGATGAGATCTTGTCGGCGAAAAGACCGAGACGCTTTGAGGGGGAGAAGAGGTCTGGAGTGGCGTTGAGGATGCTGCGTGTGGCGTCGTGGTCGGGCTGGGTGGGGGATGACAGGAAGCGTGGCGTCGTTGGCGTCTGACGCGGCGTCGCATCAGTCGACGACCGTCTTGCGCCCATCTCTGGCCCAGTCTCCGGCGACACTGATCTGCTCCGTTTGCTCCATATATGCGTGCTGTGGTCGTGCGAGCGCCGTGGCGTATGCCAGCCCGAGATCATCGAAATTGACTTGGCCGTCGTGGACGACGAGCTCCTGTGTTGATCACCGTTGTCACCGCGATCGCATCGTTTCAAATGCTGCGGCGATGTGCTGCCAGACTCCGACCACAATCTCGCCAGTTCACCGTTCTCGCCGTCGAGTCGTCTGCCGATGATACCTGCGCTGCCGTCGTCTCCTCTTCTCGTCACATCCTCTCCAATGTAGTTATCAAGCAGAACCACCTGTGCGCCAGCTAGCAATCCACCTCTGCCACCGTTCTCACCCATTTCTCCCCAAAGGCACGAAGGATATGGTGGTATCCACCCCATGGTCGCAATTCAGGCCCACCAGCGCAACATGGTGAGTTATGGAGCCGTGTCAGTACGCGCGTTTATTGACACCTATACCTCAGCCCTTCGCTGTGCAACGCGCCCTGAGCGAAGCCAATGTGGACATTAGGAAGGACATTGACGGAATCGCGTTCACAAGAGGCCCAGGTTCGCCCCAGCTGTTCAACCTCACATTCCTATACTCATAATACTACAGGCATTGGTGGCTGCCTGAGTGTCGGCTCCAACGCCGCCAAAACCCTCGCAGCTTCCCTAAATCTGCCCATAGTCGGCGTCCACCACATGGTTCGTCTCTCTTCCTTCATGTGGAATATATTTCAAGTTACATCACATACCTGCAGCAAGCCCACGCCCTAACCGCCCTTCTCACCTCCTCAACAAACCCACCTCAATTCCCCTTCCTCACCCTCCTTGTCTCGGGCGGACACACCCTCTTACTCCTCGCCACCTCCCTCACGTCTTTCCGCATCCTCGCCACCACCCCCGACGAGAGCATCGGTCGCGCATTTGACAAGGTCTCTCGCATGCTCGAGCTCACGTGGACCGCACTTGGGCCTGGTGCCGCGCTGGAGCAGTTCTGCGCATCGAAACCCGAGGCAGTAGATGTTCAGGCGGACCTCCCGCCATTTCCCCGCCCGCTGAGGGGTCACCTTGGCTTCTCGTACTCTTCTCTGCACTCGTACGTTGAGCGGTACATTACATCCCAGGGCGGCCTAAGGAACGTCGATGAGCCTACGCGGCTCGCGCTCGCAAGGGGGTTCCAGACGGCGGCGGTGGACCAGCTCGAGGAGAAGCTCCTCCTTGCGTTCAAATGGTGTAAAGAGCATGGAGTCGACGTGCGGGATGTGGTGGTTAGCGGGGGTGTGGCGAGTAATACGTATTTGAGGGAACGGTAAGTTGGCAGTTCCGCCCACTATAAGCGTCCCGACTGATATTGTTTGAAATTAGATTGGCAAAGTGCTTGGAGAAGGTCGACGGTGCACAGTCTGTAGGTACGAGACCGATTGGACTCTGCTTTCCCCCGCCTGCGCTGTGTACAGGTCAGTTGGGCTTATCTAGGTCCCTTCAGTTCAGTACTCACTCATGCATTTGCAGACAACGCGGTGATGATTGGATGGGCCTCTATGCATCGCTTCCTTGCCGGTGATCACGACGACTACTCAATTGACCTTCGGGCGAAATAGAATATCGACACCCTTGAATCTGAGGCTCAGGTCGAGGCGGCATCCTCATCCCCGTCGTCCTGATCTCCATCGCAAAAGGAAGCTGCAGGCGAGATGATCTATGGTACTCAAAGTTGCTCTTATGTGCTATTTAGGCGCCAACATGATGACTTAATTAGTGCTACATACAAGAAGGGTGTATGCACTCGAGATGGACTGCACGAGATGCTTCGTTGACGCTTGAGGAAGCCTTGAATTGTTTCGATAGTGGTTCTCCCGTTTCAACGGCAATACATCCGTAGCCTTGATTCCTCGATACAATCACTCGGCCGCCATCCTGGTATGTAGTCTTTTGCTCAAGACGGATGTATGTATACGGGGGGTATATGGGTATGCGGGGATTTCTCTCATGAGTTACTGTTGGTACCCGGCCGGTTGAGCTCCTCTAATCTGCTGAGTAGCGAATCAACGCGGCCCTCGAGGCCTGCCACATTCCCCTTCACGACGTCGCGGTTCTCGTCCAAGCTCGTCTCCACAGTAGTCACGGCACTCTCAAATTCCGTAAGCGCCTCGTGGATCTTTTGTTGCTCCTGCTCGAGGCTCTGAAGCGTGTCCTGGAACTCAGCCGCAGATGTGTGGAGGGCAGCCAGGGTGCGAAGGCGCGTCAATATATGCGGGATCTGGGGAAGGGAGGGACTGAGCCGTGACAGAAGAGGGAGGACTTGCTCTTGAATTTGTGATGTTTGTGGTGCTGCGTTGGGCTGAGATGGATGGCGCCGATGGGAGTGTTGGGCGGAGGCACGGTCAAGATCAGAGAGGAGAAGTTTGAGGCGACGAGAGATGGAGTCGATGTGGCGTGGTTGCGTGAGCAAACTCAATTGCGCGTTCAAGCGGGTAATGAGAGGAAGCAACGGGGGCGTCAAAGGTGATGTCTACCGTGTATACTTCAGTGTCCAATTCTCAAAAGAAGAAAAACGAGCTCATACCTCGTCAAGAGCGGCGGTGGAAGAACCCACTAATTTCTCGAGCTCTCCAACGCGTTGATCCATTTCGACAATGGTTCTCGCTTCAGGCTTGCCCTTGTCTCTCACTGCATCGGCGCCCTTCTTCTCTTCGGTGTCCTCGTCATTTACCGCTGTCTCCTTGTCTTCGCCAAGAACAGCATCAACCAGCCTGGCTCGCCCCTCCTTTCCTTTCCGTATCTTGTCCAGCCTTCCCCTCACGTCTACCAACCCTCGAATCAGTTCTCCAGGATCGATATTGTCGGCCTCCCGTTCTTTGGCAAGCAATGGGTTCGAAGGGTCCGCAAGCTCAGATTCCAGCGCTACGAGTTCATTCTGAAGATTGCGTAGCCTGTGAGAGAGTGGCAGCGGGCGCGCGTTCACAGGCTCCTCATGAGAAGATGAGGTGGGCGAAGGAGGATACGCGTAGTGTGTCCGAAGGCGATCTGATGGAGCAAGATACAGATAGGTTATTTCAGCCGCCTCGCATGAAGAGAAAGGGCTTCGCACCACGCTTCCTTTCTGCCTTTCTGAATCGTTTGCTTGCCTCCTCGGGGTCTATCAGGGGACTCGAGTCGATCTCTTCTCGTCCTGGGACGTCATTTCGACCTCTCACTGCGCCTCGTTGAGGCAGTGGTGCATCGTCGTCACTGTCATCACCTTTCTAAGGAATAGCGCAAGTGAGTACGCGAATAGGATGCAGAAGAATTTGCCAACCGTTGACTGGGCAGAAGGAAACACATCCTCTGTCTCGTAAATATCTGGTGCAGTATCCTAAAAAACGCGATTAGCCCTAGGACACGGAAGCTCAGAAAAACGAACAATGTCGGGCAAGTCAGCATACTTGTTGCTGCTCATGGTGGTGTTAAGAGCTGTGATCTTCCACGGTTCAGACGAAGAGAGTCGGAAGGGTTAAACTACTAATAGCAATATTGAAATGAATGATTTGATAAAAAACCGTCACCTGAGCGATTCGAACACTCGCGGTCAAAGACCAACCGCTTGGCTGTCTAGCAGGCGATCCCGTTAACCACTCCGGCAAAGTGACATGTATGTTTTAACAGGTTTTTCTATCATAACAGACTTTGAGAAGCACGAGATGTGGGCTTCATAATACCCGGACCGTTGTTCTCCTCCTCTCTCATGACACTCTCGGAGAAGCAACCTCTTCTAGAAGGTTATACCCATACTAAGGGACAACGCTATGTCCTGGTTATTCACGGAGGCGCTGGCACCATGTCCAAGGAAGGCTCGACTCCTAAGCAACAGGCTGCCTACAAAGCCTCCCTACGCGCCGCTCTGGAAGCTGTGAGTCGTGCATGTATTTAAACTTACCATCTTAAAACTTGTGCTGGTAGGGCTACAATATTCTTCGCGATGGAGGAGAGGCAATGGATGCCGTCGTTGCCGCTGTGACGTCAATGGAGGGTGAGTGGATACTATATATTGTTTGGGACTTCACAGTCGTTAAACTTCGCACAAGACAATCCCCTGTTCAACAGCGCCAAGGGGGCTGTATTTAATGTCGAGGGCAAGGTATGTACATAGCAGGGTCCCTCACTTTCGCCTTCGGGGAATTTACCAGCACGCCTTCAGAACGAACTTGAAGCTTCGCTCATGCTCTCGAAGCCCCCAGCATCGCACCCCGAGATTCCTTCCACTCGACGTGGTCTGGGTGTCACCCTCCTCACGCGCGCTCGCAACCCGTCGCAGCTTGTCCGCGCCCTTTATCTTGCGCCCGAGAAGGCACCTCATACCTTTTTCTCAGGGGTGACGGCCGAGTCTATCGGTGCCTCTCTTGGCGCTGAACTGGTTGATCCGTCGTATTTCTTTACCGAACATCGATGGAGGGAGCACCGGCGTGAGCTTGGCCTTCCAGAGGAACCACTGCCCCAACACCCGCATATCCCTGACTACGAGACAATCCCCCCCCCTTGATCAGCTACCCACCGGGACCGTCGGTGCCGTAGCCCTGGATATCCGTGGTTGCATCGCGTCGCTAACATCTACAGGTGGTAAATCTAATAAACTCGCTGGACGCGTTGGAGACACTCCTTCAATGGGTTCCGGCTTCTGGGCTGAAGACTGGGGCCATCCCCAGCGAAGCTGGGCGCAAGAGGTTTGGCACAAGATGTTCAAGGTGAAGCAACATCCCCACGCCGTTGGCGTGTCAGCTACTGGAGATGGAGATGTGAGAATGCTCCCTTCTAAACTCATTTCATTACTGATCATATACTGCAGTATTTCATCAGGCTTGCTACAGCGTCAACCATTGCTCGCCGCGTTGAATATCTCCACGAGCCACTGGATAAGGCCGCGAAAACGGCTGTCCAAGATTTGTTTGCTGAGGGAGGCTTTGGAGGCGTCATCGCTCTTGACGATCAAGGAAACGGTAAGTAGATTCGAATCTAAAGTATAGGTTACCACTCACCTTTTCTTTCTTTCAAGTTACCACGCCCCTCAATTCCCCAGGAATGTATCGTGGCGTCATCAAGGAAGACGGTGTTCCGAAGACAGCGATATTCGCCGACGACGTGCTAGACTAGGTCGGATGCTGAGTACTGAGTACGGGCGATATTGGATAATTCCGGGGGCATGGAATCAATAGATGTTTCTTGAATACAGTCTGCTTAAGAGTGCAACCCTCACATAAGCCTCCTCAAATACAAGGCGAGATCAATGTAGGCGCTTGAAGGCGCATATTTGGTCCAGTAGAAAGGAGAGAACAAAGTTGAACATTCGTTCGGCGTTTCGCTTCCAGATTTAGAAGTCGTTAAACTAACTTCCAAATTTGGCAACCTTAGACCACCACCACAGCTCTGGCTTCTTCATTTACACCGAGTACAAGGCTCTTGTCAAGTCATTCACCGGAAAGTGAACAAGGCGGCATCTCAGTATAATGGATTGCTCAATTTGCCTTCCTGTTCATATTCAACCCATCCGGCCAACGCCCACGAGGTCTCTCGACGAAAAGTCAACTCCTGGCCGCCCTTTTTTTTGCCCCCGGTTCACGATTATAACAGTCACGACTCTACTGCTCCAGATTCCTCTACTCGTATAGAGTTCCTCAGCTCATGTCTGCTGTCACCACCGCCTTTACTGTCGTTTCGTGCGGTACCTTTCTAATCGTGGCCATCCCATTCCCATGGCATCTACAAGGTACGCATACAATGATAGCACTCGGTACTGAAAAGCTCATATCTCGCATTGGGCTTTTTATAGCATGGAATTCTGGCGCATGTATGTACATGGCATGGACGTCCCTGGGATGCCTTAATCTTTTCGTCAACTCGATTATATGGCGGGGGAACATGGCCAACCTGGCTCCAGTTTGGTGCGATATCTGTATGTCCCCGTGGATCCACCTTTGGAGTATGGCTGACACATCATGCGAATTGAAGCGACAAAATTCATGGTCGGAGTGAACGTCGCGCTCCCGGCCGCTTCGCTGTGCATTAATCGACGATTGTATCAAATTGCGAGCCTCCAGACCGTTACGACGACCAAGGCAGATGTACGCTACCTCCTCATTGTTTGCAAACGCACGACGACCTCATCCATGGGCAATAGAAAGTCGGAGGAGTGATGATTGATTTGTTGATCGGTGTCGGTCTTCCGGTCCTCTTTATGATCATCCGTGCGTACCAGTCGACATTGATGAAGTGCAGGAAACCTGACAAGCCCGTAGATTATATCGTACAGGGCCATCGCTTCGACATCTTCGAGGACTACGGCTGTATGCCGTTCAGCTACAATACTCCCATCACATACGTGATCGTACACGGGCCAATTATGGCGCTTGGGATTGCCTCTGCCGTTTATGCAAGTAAGTATTCCCTTGCTAGCACCACGTGAAATTTACAAGCTTCATTTGCTGCCAGCCTTGAACGTCATCAGGCTCAACCATCGCACAGATGAGCTCCGGCTTCTCATCTCCTCAAATGCAAGCCTTAACTTGAATCGCTACCTCCGCCCCATATTTCTTGCATGCATCGTCATCGTGCTCAGTGTCTCCCTCTGCGTTCTCGACATGACGATATCCGCTCTCGGCGACGTTAAGCCATACATCTCTTGGGAACATGTGCATTCCGGTGCGTTATTCTGTCCATAGTTACGTTTTTTCTGGTACTGACGGTGATTGCAGATTTCTCCCGGATAGATCAGTACCCAGCCGACGTGTGGCGGGGGACACCCACATCGAATTTTCAACTAGAGCAGGCGCGCTGGGGAACCCTCGCGTATGGCCTGGTATTTTTCGCGTTGTTCGGATTTGCGAGGGAGGCTAGGGAACGCTACGTTCGTGCGTTTTGGGCTGTGGCGCAATTTTTTGGAATGCACGCTGGTGACAAGATGGCGAGGACCACGGGATCACAAGGCCGGTAAGTAAAAATCGTTTGCTGAGATTCGAGAATCTGACAATTCTATTGACAGGCACAGGTCCAGATTTACTATAGGTAATTTTGGCCCAAGGTCGTCAATGGCGAATACACATCAGCACGTGAAGCAGCAAGACTCCATGGATTTAACGTCATGTTCATCTAGGTTCCAAGAAGAGGATGGGCGCCGAACAGATGATTCGACTGCCTTTTCGACTTTCGTTTTGGGAGACGCGTGCAGTGAGATCTCTACAATACATTTTCACGAGATCGAGGAACTACTCCCGATCATCTCTAACACTAGCGCCACGCCACAGCAGCAAGTTCAAAAGCCAAACCCTGGGCAAGCGATATCTATACCAAGTGCGACTGAATCCTCGATAACGGCCGCCGTATCTGTGTCTGCATCCCCGCCGTACCGCGCAGCGCCTCAAGCGCAGCTCCCCACCTCCGCCACAACCTCCTCGGAATCCATGTACAGCACAAGCACTGGGCCCGATCCAGGTCCCGGGGAATCCACCCCAATTCCAATTCCCCCATTTTCACGCCAAGCACAGGCGCAGACCCCTCGTTCCCACACTGGACGGGATCTCCAGATTGCGACAGCGCCACCCAGGCTCATTCCCAGACTTCCAGCGCCGCCGCCGGCGGGCAGGACCCCTGGCACCAGCCTCCGGCCCCGAATCCAGGATCGGGCGCCGCCGGCGGGGCCGCGACGTGTTGTTGCGTCCACCACCCACAATTCATTCCTCGATCTCTCGGACTCGCCGCCGTCGACACCGCCAGTAACACTAACCCGTCCACAGTAACCCGCCCGTGGCCGCGGCAGATTGCACGGACGTGGACGCGACGCGATCGAGGACTGTGCAGTGATGACTTGGTGCTGACCCCCATTGTATTTTTAGTCGACGCACGACCGCATTGCGCCTAGCGGCGCTCCGTGGTGCGCATGCCTGCATTTGTTCATACCCGCGTAGAGAGTGGAGACTCAGGCACTACTGTAGACGTCATTCAATTAATTCTCTTATCTACACCCCAGAAACACACACTGAGTGCCTCGCAGGATGTTTTTCTCCTGCGTGTGCGAACGAACCTTCTGGAATTCGGCAGAGAAAGTGTGGAGCTCCGGCAACTCCAGCGCAGGGCCTCGACTCTCGAGTGGAGCTTGATGAGAGATCTGCGTGATCGAAGGTACGAACTTCGGGCGGGGCTGTCAACAACGTTGATTTAATTATAATCATGGCGAAAGTACCGCTGACGTCAGAACTATGTATAGAACGGCGCGTTGAGCTGCGTGGCGGCAGCTCTACAACGGCGGGCGGGCGGTGGCGGGAGGCGGGGGATTGGCTACATGGTGGCGAGGTCGGGATATGAAATGGCACTCATGTGATAAGTAGCTAGCTGGCCATGGGACTTGTGCGGCGCTCGCAACAACCGTGTCAACTGAAATGTGCAAAATCCCATCTGCTTCTTTTTATTCCCCTTGAACCTTTATGCAATTATCCCCCTTCACTGTCTCCCCAAGAGGATGCCTTATTGTAGGCTTCTTGACACATGCGAACCTCCTTCTGCGATCCTCACCGGCTACTAGTATGGCATCCGTAGTACGCGGAGCATATGACCGGTCTCACGAGGTGTAGGAGAGTTTAGTTCTGGCTCTCTGGACGTGCCA